CTTGTCCCTTGTTGACATCTTCAACAAGATCCGCCGCGACAACGGAAAACGCTACAGGGATGAGAATGTTGCTTGCGTTAATCACCAAACTAATACCGACGGAGCCCATGATAGCACCAACAAAGGCCAGGCCGAGGGCACCATCTTTGGGACAAATGGTGCCACTCAAAGTATGATGGAGCAAGCCGAAACCCGTGCAAAGGTCTTGATGGGGGCCGTTGAGGTACCATTGTTTGCTCTCGCCATTCTTGCCCTTCTCGTTGTAGGCGAGTTGAATCTTACGAGTCGAGAGCTTTCGCATGGAACCGAGCCCATGCAAAACGTTGGTATGCAGGATCTCTCACTCTCCCTCTTTCGGTCAATCTTGCTGCATTATTTACTAATTCCTTACCCCAAATTGTTACCCCTGACGCAACGTGTCAGGTCAATGGGCACCGATCGTGACGGCTGGTCTTGCCGCTATCGGGTCACTATATCTTCTCTGGGAAAAAGAGCTCCACGAATACAGAAAAAAGAAAAAGTCGAACAGGCAGCCGTCTAACGCGACCGCGATGACTGATGCCACCGCTCCAGCTTTTGGGACAAGACGCCAGAGCTGTACTCCGTGTCCTCATTGCCAAGGCCATCCTGAGAGCCCAACGGACGCCGGATACGAATCACCAGCCGGGTCACCAGAACCTGATGGGACAAAAACCGCTGGTGGCAGCCGAGACAAGATAAACGAGGCTCTCTCTCGCTTCGCAGACTTCTTAGCCACACCGCATCCAGGCCCCCAGCCTTTCCGGGAAGGCCCCGCTGCTGCCTTTCCGGAGACACCCGGAGAGAGATTCAAAAATTACAGGCTTCGGGAAGATAAAACCAAATACGATGATATCTCGCGCGATCGAAATACGTCTCGCGGCACCAGTATCCGTTCATCCATGTTTGACGAGGACGGAGAGGCGCCCGCCTCGCCAAAGACGGGCCAGGCGTCATGGCCACCAACGGCCGGAAGGCCCTCCCTCTCTCAATCCAATCGAGCCCCGCGCTGGGATGGCTCGTTGATTCCCACTCTGAAGATTCAAGAGCCTTCGCCTTCCCGCTCCCTTCTTTCTCGCGCGAGTACGTTTCCAGCCAGCAGCCAGGCCGGCCCAGCCTTGAGCTCGGCGGCCGAAAGGGGACGGCCGATTACCCGGCGCAATACTCTGGAAGTCCCTACCACGGCGCGAACCAGGTCTCCATCCTTCACGAACCAAAATTCGGCAAAGACCCGCCACGATTAAGCACCGACTCTCTCGTACTGCATTTACCGCCTGCTTCCTCTCCCTACCCTCGCGGACGTATGGACACCGAAAAGGGCCGAAGTGAGATCGGAAAGACAAGAGGAAAAGACAACACCAAGGGGCCAGAAATATCTCAAGGCGTAGCGCCAACAGACGTATAGCGATTTACACGCAATTTTCGAGGGGAGTACTGCCTATTTCTGGGCAACGAGGGTGATGCAGCGCTGCCGAGACCTCTCAGAGCGACAGACTGGGGCGACTTACAGCTCCAGCTCCGTACGCTTGGGTCAATTAGCGGCATATAGCCCGGCTGGCCCAGCAGAGCCCCCGCTGAGATTCCACCTGGACGCGGCTGGACGGCACTTGAGCGCCCGCCTGCGCCCCCGATGCCAGCTCAGCTCGCAGCAGAATATGCATGTCGATACAAGATAAGCACAGCTCAGGCTTGTGCAGCATCCCTTTGCAGAACCAACGTTCGCTCTCAAGCTATAAAAGTGTATGGAATGGGCGCCTATAGGAACAAGACCTGGACGTTGGGGACCTCGACCGCTGTTCTCAAGCAAAAGCTCGCAAGCCAACAGATAACGGGGAATAATGGACTACAGTTTGCGCCAGGTGAATCGTCCGCCGTTGCTATTCGAGGCTTTTCTTTTTTTTTTAATTCTTTTTGTTTTCTATATCTCCCTCCGAGACGACGCTTGACTTGTGCACCATTCGAGCGTGAGATACCCCCCAAATCCTTTTGTTTTATTAGAAGCAAGCTTCCGGCCCTGCTATGGCGAGACCACGACCTACATGCGGGCTGCTTGCTCCCAACCGGCATCGGGTGACAGCACACTCTACTACAACGCACCTCCCTCGGTGACTGTCAAGGAATGGATCGAATACCACGATCCTTTCGGATGCCTACATAGGCCGGGCTTGCAGCCTTGGTAATGTTGGCCAAATCCCAACAGTGGAGCGTGCCGAAGTGGAGCGCGTGTGCACAATGCTCTGCATTCTATGTACAAGAAAGCGAGCCAGAAGAATATAAAGCTTTAGACTGCGCCGCTATGCCACGTCTAGCTCGACCTCTTTCTTCACTCAAGGAGCTCTGCCGGCCTCTACTTCTTCCTCCGGCTCTCCTGCCTGCCATTGGCCAAAAACGACATGCCGTCGATCTGCTTGTTGCGTCTGTGTGTGAATATTTCTCGATTGCAGCATATTCCCCACAGCCCTGTTGGCCCTGCCTCACTAGCAACTACGGGTGTTATCCAGGACGACCCAGCATTTTCTCCAGTATCGAATTGATGATGGTCCTTGGAGCCTAGAGAACGCCTGTTCACATGTTGCAGAAAATCAAGCATCTATGTGGGAATCCCATTGTTTGGACGATACTGGACACGACGTCTACCGCCATCTCTTCCCGCAAAAACGACAACTGAAGTGGAAACAAGATCAGGGAGCACGTCCTAACTCTGTTGCCTCTCCATAAGCCTCCGGGCTCGGGCTTTTCAGAGGTATTGTGAAGCCTGACGGCAGCGATTTTTGAAAGCCTCCGGTTGGTTTGGGGCCGCCCCCACAAGGACGCCACCATCGGCCAAGTTGGGCGGCTCAACGCCGGCACGCTGCCCTGCATGACGGCGTCGGCGATCAGGACGCCATGGCTGCCCGTGGTGGGCGCTGTCGTCGTGAGGGTGTTTTGATTTTGACCAGAGGCATAGCATGCGTTGGGTTGACCCGACGTTAGTTCCCCGGAAGCGAACGAGCAAACCCAGTAACAATGGCATAGAATTGGATATCCCTACACCGACGCAGTCTCCCGTTGATAATTTCGAACCCGTACCACGTTATTGGATCCTTCAGCCGACTTGTCCTTGTCTTAAAAACGATGGGAAGGATTCGGTAAGGCTTCGGAAGACCCCTGCTAGCGCATTGCTTAAGGCTTGGGATTTTAGGCTGCGTCTTGGCGCCTGTTCGGAATGGAGACGTTCGTGGTGAGACAACCCCATCCCCTAAGATTGCTACGTGCCATTTGTGGAGGCAACGCATGTATTTCACCACCAACAGCCTTCGCTAATTTTGCGGTCAGAATGATAAAAAGTCACGACCGCTGCCCTCGGGGGCTCTGAGTGATAGAGGCTGCTATCAGTCCCCGACGACGACGACGAGACTGATCGCTTGCTTGGTTGGCATTTTGGACTGATAATAATAACAGCCATGTCTACCAACGAGAAGCAAAACGTCAGCCCTCTGCCGGCTGTGGGGCCCAGAGAGGATAGGGGTGACAAGACGAAGGAAATTGACGGCACTGGCATGAGGGAAACCGACGGCATCGACTCGAAGAAAACCCCCGGCATCAAGGGGGAGTTCTCGCCACAACGGACCCTACGGAAATCGGTCCTCTTCACGTCGTTCCACCTGCTACCGACTGCCCTCGCCATCTTCTGCCTCATCTCGCTGTTCCTCGTCATGTTTTCCGGCACAAAGCTGGCGGGCAGCGCGGACACGAGCCACGGCAGCAGCGGCGCCATTCTCCTCAGCGACATTGCCGTCGTCTCTGTGCGTCAGCCCACCCACACTTATCCTCATCACTCGCTCATACACTAACAGCCTGTAACCCTTACCTCCCATCAGTTCGACGGCCTGATAGAGCAGCCATCCGGCTACGCCGTCACCTTCCACTGGTTCATGAATGGCTTCGGCTGGACGTACCCGACACAGGACTCCGCGAGTCTGGTGTACGCCAACCGCGGCCCCATCCAGGAGACGCAGCTCTCGCTGCCGGGCGACATATTCTATGCCGCCGGGCAGCTGCACGGCCCAGGGTGCGACAAGTTCGCGGCATACAACGCCTCGCACGCGTGCTACCCAGCCTTTCTGAACCGGGTTTTCCCCGACGCCAAGAACGGAACACGCGCGGGCAACAACGACGACATGCTCCGCTACAGACCCGACCGCGAGTTCCCGAGCGACCTACCGCTGTCGCTGCACTACATCGCCGTGTGGCTGACGATGTTGGCGCTCGCGGTGGAAGCGTGGTTTTTGCTTAGTCGGAGCAGGCGGTTGTTTTCTTCCCGCCTTGTCGGGATTCTGCTCCTACTGTGCTGCCGTCTAGCAACAACGACAACAACGACAACGACAGCAGCAGCAACAAAATAGACCCGAGGAGAGCAGCACGCAACGCCCGCCGCAGCCGCGTGGCGCTGTACGTAGCCGCGGCCATCGCGGTGCTCGCGGCGCTGGGCAGCCTGCTCGGCGTGGGCGCGGGCATCACGAACTACCTCGGCAGCTTGCCGGACGCGGGCCGGATGCGCCCACGTATCGGGGCCGGTTTCCTGTGGCTTGCGGGCACTTGCTCGGCCGCCGCGGTGGCCGCTGCGGTGCTGACGGGTATGCAGATGTGGATGGGGGAGAAGGCGGAGGAGGGGCGGGTGTTAGATGAGGAAGAGACAACGGTCTAGAACATGGAGGCCGGTTAGCCCATGTGATGATGATAATAATGGATGGATGAACAGAATAAAATAAAAATAGATAAAAGGCAAAAGGTAATTTTACTCCGTCGCCGAGTCAGGCAGGCAGGATTTCTATAATAACTCATACCATGTCACCCCTGAGCCCCCTTTTTTTTTTCTCACGGGTCCATTGCGGGGGCATGGCTGGCCTCGCTGGGGCACGCTCGTGTAACCCCAGCAAATCCACAACCGCCGTGATTGTCGATGATCGAACAGCTGAGGGAAAACAGCAAGCAGCTGGTCGGGTCGGATGGTGTAGTTGGTTATCACGTGAGTTTAACATTTGCTTCTTCTCGGGCAAGGTGTGCGCTCAAGGTCCTCAGTTTGATCCTGGGTTCGATTATCCCCAAGTCGTTTCTTTCGCTTGGCTGGCGATCTCTCTATGGTTTGCTCTCTACCAACTTGTTTCCCCTGTTCTTTCAGGTTTCCCAGCTGATGCCCGTGAGTGTTTGCTGGTGAGTGATTTCGTTTCCGTTTGGGCTGAAGGGTGTGTGTAAGCACGAAATGAAATATTATAGTTCCTTCCCACCTACTGGTCGGCGAGCGCGGGGAACGCCAAATCTAGTTGGCCGAGTGTTCAAGGCTTTCCAGCGTGATTCATTTCTCGAGGACTCGAGTCTTCAAAAGCAGGAGCGAGGCCCCCTCCTGGAGGTGCCAGTTCCAGTTGCTCTGCCAATTCTAAAAAAAAAAATCCTTACCCTGACATGATCTAAAGGATTGAGGCGGATCACTGTAAAATGTGGCACAAACATCTAGTGGACCAAGTCTTTGATAGTCCTCGCATTTTAGCAAATGTCTAGTTGACGGTGTTAAGACCTTCAGCCGCAGGTAGCTCACACCATCAAATCATCAAGTCGTCAGTTCGTAACATGCTTGGCTCCCTGACCACGGCCTCAAGCCTTGGCAAGAGCTATAGGCTCCTTGACAAAAAAGCCAGGCGGCACCGCAAACTTGGGATCGACCATGTCCTGCATCTTGCCGACCGTGTCGGCAACCACGTCATAGCTAAAGTTGAAGTGGAAGGACTCGGGCTGGTTTCCTGCAACAAAGTCAAGCACGGCGAGGTTAGCGTGCTCAAGATTCCAGCTCTGAAGGAGACAGCCCTGAAA